TCTCATATTAAAAATATATTAAGAAAAAAATATGAATTAAATTTAAAAAAATTACCTTACTTATTATATCATTTAATTTTAGAGTGAATGGAATTGAAGTCTTGTATTATTGAAATCTAATAATGAAGTATATTTTAATTTTTACATACTAAATTTTCATATAATATCAAAATCTATATCCATGATATAATAACAAATTACTAATTGATTTTAATTTGAATATAAGCTTTGATTTGAAACTTACATACAAGTCTAATTTTAAACTCACATACTTTATTTCACATGTATTCAAAAATATCATACTTAATTTCACATGTGTTAAGAGATATTGAGAATTGACTGTAATAATAAAATGTGATTTATTAAATAAACATCCTAGTGATTAAAAAAATCCATATGAAATCTTATGCGTCATATTTAATTTTTTTTTAATAAATTATATCTGGGGTTGTAAGCGTTAGTTTCCGTTTATCAAGCATCTTGTCCACTAAATACGACATTAACCGATGTAAATAATTACGTGAAGGTTCTCACTTCTCACCCACACTTTTTCGTCCAAGCTCACTCATGTACTTCTTCATACTTCTGCAGGAAATGAGCGGTTATAGATTTTTCATAAGATAATGAGTCAATATGATTTTAACACATAAATTAACAAATATAATTTCATAGGAAAAACCATAACATTGGCTTAATTAATTCCTGCAATATGTATAGAACTGTTTTAGTTTGGCTGCCGTGACAGGGAAGTGGAATCATTTTGTAATGGGGAAGGGAGAGGTTCAGAAATAGTGTCACAAGAAAGGCTCTCAATCTTCTTAAGTTTTCGATCCAGGGAAACTAGTCTCATAGGGGTTCCAATCATTTCAACTTTGCAAGTTAACATGGCAACAGTCTCAGACATGGGAGAGGCCTCAGGTTTGCAAGTGGCTGGAGGCAAAAGAAGGCCACATGTATAGCCTGCATCACGTTTTTCTCCTTGAATCCATCTTCTTGTAGTCTAGGATCTACTAGATCAATCAGGCGGGACCTCTCATACAACTTCCATGCCTGTTATATATATGAAATATTACAGGTAAATGAAAAAGATTCAAATGTAAAATTGTAATGCAAGTTAAAAAGGCTTACATATTCTGGAAGATACTGCATTTCTGAAGGTAGAGT